TGTGCATTACAGTTAAGAACAACTGAAAGATTTCTTTTTTATTTGAGAACTGAATTTTTAATGAAGAATGTCAGTTTTGTGAGAAAAACATTGTCTTTAAATATAAACACATTCATGTATTTAGAGGGATATTCTGACACTAGAAAACTGAAGAAAAAAGAACTACTGCTATAGTACTTCAGGCAAATGAGAGTATTTATCTCAGGCTTTTTCTTCTGTGGGCCAGACTTAACACTTCCTCTCATATAGCAGTTTAGAGAGAGTGCTCTCAATTGCAATATCACATGACATATATGGTCTAGTTACAGAGCCCATAGATACTGAGATTAGAGGAACACGGAGTCAAGAGCATTCAAACTGTAGTCCCATAACGCCAGAAAATAAAATTTTTCATTTCATAGCCACAAAAAGACACTTTTTTTCCCTCAACAAGTCAACAAAGGTCTTGTTTTATTAATTCTAACAGTGATTATCTCTGAGTGTGATACAAAGTCCCTAGGCCCTTTTCAAGGCAAGTATCTGTGACATTTGCCTCCTCAGTCAATTGCAAAGTTCAGCCAAGAGCAGCACTCTTCCAAGAATTCTGATTAACATTTAAATGAGCCTCTTGACCACCACTTAGCACTACATCTCACTGCAAAGCAAAATGAAAAGACCAGACAACTACACCCCTGCTTGCCATACACTGTCTACTAATGAAAAGGATTAAAAAATGGCTATCTACATCAGAAGCTAATTATGTCTTAGGAAAAAAAAAAAAAAAAAACAGCCTTCCCCCTCAAAATACCTCTACATTGTTTGATCAAAGACCCTCTCATCCTCATGACTAGTAACAAACTTCCCTGGACCAACAAAGAGCAGATGGATAGACCATTGCCAGAGCAACAGAGTTAAACATTTGCTACCCTAATATTTCAGAACGCCATAGTCAAGGTCCCTCACAACAAAAGTAATTACTCGCCTTACATCTCCTCACACCTGCATGTCACACACTTCTGGTGTGATTAGAAAGTCACTTTTAGTTTTCTACTGAATGCTGAAAAGCATGTACTCAGTTTAGACTTTTTATATTCGTTTCCACAGCCTACTATAATTTCCTTCAGGCCCTACCTCTAAATATCAACCACATGTCCAGGAGGGAGGCTCGGAAGTCTTTTACCTTCTCCTTTACTCATCCTCCTCTCTGCTCCACAGATATAAACTATTTTATGTTCTCAAATTGTCCAACTAATTAGTATAATTATTTTCAACATTTGCATACTATTTTCAACATATGGATAGCCTGAAAATAGTTGTTCTGTTTCTGATCTGAGAAAAAGTTTATGTGGCCTTGTGTGATTTTGAACTACATCAACTAGTCTTCAAAAAGAATGCTACTTCATAAAGATTGATTTTAATTAAAGTGCCTCACAGATATTAATTAAACATCACAAATCCTGTGAGGGAAGACACTCATACAGGGAAAAAAAAATGAAGTCAAAATGAGAATTCTCTAAAATAGTCTCTGTATTTGGATGCCTCATTGACTCATACACAGGGGGCCTAATGTTTCATCATGGTTAATAACTCTTATGGGACAAGATATATTAATTAAAACTTAGGAATTTTAAGCAGGCTATCCTTCAAAGCACTGCTGTGAAGCAAAATGAGTAAATACTCTCTCAATTTTATGGGTGAAGAAGTTGAAACAAAAGGAGCAAAACAACTTTCTCTTAGAAGACTACATTGTGCCAACGGCACAGTGAAGTACAGTAGGATGTATCGAGACCATCTAGACCATCTGACTTACAATTCCATGCTCCCTCCTTCAAAGCATGTTGCTTTATTGCAACAACTGCTCCCAAATTACGTCAGATACAATTGTTGGCACTTGCTAGATTTAAGATGTAGACCCCCAGTATTTCAACTTGGAAACCACAGAGCAGAGGTTGTCTGCTCTGTTTAACAGTAGCATTCGCTAACAGTAATATTCACTATGTAACAACATAGTGGATCCAAAGCTAAACAAAAATTGGGCTGAATTTAGCAAAAACAAAACAAAGGAGGAAAATGAAGCATTTTATATCAACTGTTTCAGACCAACAAAAAAAAAGGGTGAGTTTTCTTCTTTGGAAACAGTATAAAATTTTAATTAATAGTTAAGAATAACTACACTTCTACCCTGAAATAAAACATTCTCAAATTATTATTTCATTTCATTCACAAAGCTATATTTTATACAAACATATTTCCTCAATTTCTCTTTGTTAAAATACTTAGAAAAAAACAAGGTTGTACCAAAAAAACTAAGAATATTATTTTTTTAAACATATATAATAGAGAGCTACTACAGAAATTCCTAGGCACTCAGATCTCTCAACAATAGTTTGTTCTCAGAAATGGCTAATATGTCTCACCCAAATTTTACTTTCTCTTAAATGACAAAGCATTAGCCAAAATGAAAAATTAGTCTTACTATCTAAATAAAAAGAGCACTGATAGGCATTTTATTTTCTTTGCAATCTGCTTCCACTATACCATTTAGTTCAACTCGCAAAGGATCATTTGTTTCTTGGCTAAGCTGTTCCCAAGGGACAAAAATAACGACTCCTGAGGCTCTTCAAACCATAGCACCAGGGTGATCAGCAAGCACAGATCTGGAAATGTCTGTCAGTACCAGCCTGCTCCTCACAGATGACTTGCAACCCTCCCCAGAACAAGCTGTCTCTTTCCCTGATCCTCACACATTTCTTAGGGACATTCTTCTTCCCCTAGTTAGTACTGTCCTAAGCAGCATGGAAAGTTAGATAGTTTAAATAGAAAATCAGAGAACAGAAAATCTGCGCTTTCACCATTTTCCTTAGTTTTCTCTTCCTAATCTCTCAGTGCTCTCCAGTGCTCCCACATGTGCATTTGGAACCAGGAACAGTAAAAGTGGGACTGTGTGCATCAAAAATAAGTCAGCTCATCTTCCTCTTGTTTTACCCCGTTATTTTTTTTCCACAATTGTGTGATTCTGTTCTTTATGATCGCTGTTCTAAAATAACAACAAGAAACTTAAACTAATAAAAACGTTAGTATATGATTAGGACCACACTTTATTTTATACTGAGTTGTGCAAAGATGAGACACCTGCTACGAGCACACTGTTTAACACCGTTACTGCTGTCACTGATGCTGCTAACTGCATGGCCAAACTGATCTAGTGCTGCACTTGATGGCTCACACATATATGGTGGCATATTATCACCAATAATCTATTCTATCACGTGCTTAATTGTACAATAAACCCATCAATATATTAATATCTCTTGTTCTCATAAGGCAGCAAAATATCCCAGAGTGTAACAATTACACAGGAAAAACCCTATTTCATGAACTATACTCACTGGGTAGCACACTGCTCATACATATATACACACACTATACTCACTCTAATACAATACAATAAAACTTGCATTGAGTAAGATTGTAAACAATCTTACTAACATAATCAAGGCCCAACTGAGTTCAGCTATTGTTGCTGTGCAAACAATTTACGTAAGTATATTCTTATGTTCTTGTTCATTGCTTTCCCATACTTCTATCATCAAACATATAACTCACATGCTCCAAAAGTATGCTAAAAGTCTGAATTAAACAGTTCCCCAAAACAAATAGTTGGATCTAGTATGAATATGCCCATCATGAAGATGAATTAATCACGCTATAAAAAAAACAAAAATAGCAAAGATATATTTTCAAATAATGTAATTTTTCTTAGTGCATTTCAGAGTGAGAAACATGGGAGCACATTCGTAAAACATTATGGGAATCACTGGCATAGGGAACAGATAAAAACTTGAAGCTGAAGTTCTCTGCATTTCCATAGGGATAACAGAACTTAAGCAGAAGCAATGTAAACGCCTCGCATATGCTCTGCTCCCTCCACTGTACCAGATGCAGATTCAAAAGCAGCTCACAGAACTAAATTTCTAAGCCAGTTTAAAATTTGGCTTATTTTCTGAGATGAAAAATTAATGCCAACATTTTACTCATGTGGAACCTGCTCATTATGTCTTGCACAAAGACCATTCAACGTTTAGGCATGTTTACGCCTACCCACCCATCATTATGTTGCTACATGGGGACATTGCTGAACTTTATGGAATAATGGATGATTTACCATTAGAATAAACTGCATCAAAATGACTCATGAATAAAAATTATGTCCATGCCTCACTGCTTGCCAGCCTGCTCTCAAATTTCTGTTCCTCTCTATTTAGAAACAGGGATTGCTCTTCCCTATCTCCCTCTTTCTCCTGCTGCTTAAAGTCTCTCAAGCTAGTGCTAGCCTTTCCTCTTGAGGCTCTCTTCATGCCTTCTACCAACCATTCTGCAGCACACACAGAAATAACTGTTGTAGAAGTATGATATATACGGAGCTGCAAAAATAACTGACATCTCAACTGGTTCTCTTATGAGTTTTTTAACGGAAGAAAAAAAATCACTAGAAATATTTAATTCTACTGGAATCTAAGAAAAGATTTTTGGGTAGAACTGAAACAAATATCCAAATGAATTTATTTTCTGAATTGATACTTTAAAGAGTTCCTGAAAAAGCCCAGTCATGATATTTTGATATTTTTGATAATTTTGATTTTTTTTTTGATAAAATGATGGTTTGGAGCAAAAGAATGCACTAACGTGAAATGAATTTATGGAATATTTAAATGAATGAATCTGAATCTGTATCTTTTCTTTGGCAAAAAAAGAAAATAAATTTTTGTCCAAAAGAACATTTTGACCAGATCTAGGTCTATACAGAGGACGTCAAATGAAGGTACAAGCAAGATTCACAGGAATAAGACATTGTCAACAGAGTACTGCCATCTCTAAGCTGTTTTAACCATTAGGAATGGAAAAAACTCATCTGCAGAAAATACAAATCTCAGGAATATCCTCAATCTAACCTGCTCCCTCTTGACAAAGAGACCCCCACCTCTGTACAACATTCCCAAATAAAAAACAAGGAAACTTACTGTCTTCTTCAACATTTTGACGGCGTAAGGTTTCTGGGTCCCTTTCTGCCTGCATCTGTAGACAATAGATGTAGCCCCACTAAATGAAAAAAAAAAAAAAAAAAAAGAAGAAGTGTTGAACATACACCTTTTCAAATATGTCAATAAACACAATTAACTTAATTCTTTAGATGGTCACAGCTAGAACTGTATTTTCTACTTTTCCCTACTTGGAAGCAAAGAGACTTCATTTTTTTCCCCACAGAATCAACGAAAACCAGTTGACATTAGACAAGTTGCTCATTATTTGCTCATTAGACAAGTAAACTGCAGAGGTTATTTAGCCAACAGAAACAAGAGGCCAAGATACTTTATGGGTCTTTTTTTTTTTTTTTTTTTGGCTCTTGAAACATTCTGGAAGTAATGAAGAAACTGAGACATGGAGAAAAGTAATCTGGCTCCAAATCCATAACTTGCCTTTGCTAGTGCAATCCATTTGCAACAATTAGTTGAGTTTTGTGAAATAAAAGTTCATGGTGGTAATGGAGAGGAGGATAGAGTACAGGTGCCCAAGCGCCCAAACCCGACACTAGCCCAGGCAAGCAGAACCACGGGAACTGGTGGTGCTCATCCCCAGCTTTTTCACTACACTGGGTTCACATTTCCCATCTGCCTTCAAGCTGCACTCGTTCGAATGCAGCAGGGTTGAACGCTCATAACATGGAAATACAGAATTGCTAGTTGGAAGGCACTTCCCAAACACCCACATAAGGTTAGTCATTCCTCCTTGGGTAACTCACTGTGCACTGTTTGGTACTTGCTAGGAATGTACCAGTACTAAGTCCAGTTCCCACTTTTACCAGTGGTAAAAAGATGAAAAATCTTTTGATGACAAAAAAACAGATACACTAAAGTGCTGCAAATGAGCACTGGGTTTAAGACACTTCTAAATTGACCAACACTATTAAGCATGTGGAACAGAGCAGGCAAATCTGTCCCCAAGAGATTTCCATTTCCATTGCTCACTTAGAGGACTCAGCAATTCTGAATAGCTGCAGATCTTTATGTAAAGGAACTGCCATTACTGTACACTTTGAACAACAGAGATGAAAGCTGTGTAGTGAAAGACTGCCATATGTACCACATAGGTAAATGCACTGCAGACATCTCTGAATCAGAGGAAATTCAAGTTCCTATGCCTATAACAGAGACTCACAGGCTATGGTATGACATCAGTTCTTTGTTTTTAAACAAAAGAATGTTTTAGTCATATTTGCACACATACATTAAACTGCTATAGGGCTGATTATTTGGGCTGTGGTGCAGTGCAAAACTGGGTTTTGCGTGGCCTGCGTGCATGCTCTGCACTTGCCAGGCATGGTGCAGGTGCCCTATACAGACATGCCCTTACTCTTTGGAGTACCAGGGTGAGCACAAGAACTGACTGAGAATATGCATTACAGAAAGACCTCCTCATCAGGAAAGGTCACCTACAGCACCTACTGCAAGGTGCACATGGCTCAATCATCCAAGGAGTGGTGTGCACCAAGTGCAAACACAGTACTCTTCAGCAAAAATGCTATAATTGTCTAATAGTGTATTGATAAATGTGTGGGGATTCCACAAGCCTCAGTAAGTCCCAGAATCATTACACAAATTTAATTAGATTTCTTCTATTTGGCCAAAAATCCCACCATATGAAAAAAAAAACACATTTTTTACGTTTTTACATGCAACACAAGATGTGAAAAGATACAGATGTGCAGTGATAAGGTTTCGAAGTTCTAACATTTCTCTACAGTACTGCAAGGGGGAATACCCAGAAAAAACTACAAATCATTTCTCTGTTCTCATATTCATAGTGAAATATAAGCAGTTAAATTAATTAGTCGACATATGTTTTTGTTAAGTAGGCAGTAATCTTTCTTGAAATGCTTATGCAAACAATATTTTACAGTTTTATTTGACTGAGAGCACAACCAGATGAGACAGTACATGGAGGGCTGTCACCATCTCCGTAATACTGTTTGCAGTGTTTGCTTTACCAGTTTGAAACTTGGCACTGAGAAGTTTTCTATATGAACAAAAATTCCAAACACTACAACATTTTCAATGATTCCTTGGTTTCTGTTTTTTGGAACTCACTAAAAAGCTTAACTAGCATTTAACTAACGCTACTTAGTCATAATGGACAATAAAACACTTGCTTCCACATGATGGGCTGATGCACTGCACTATGAGCAGTAACAACTCAAAAAAAACCCTCTTTATATGCTGTATATGAAATAGATCACAGTTGCTGCACACACTGTTCAGTACTACTGCAGAGCCACATTGCTACAAGAAAACTTCACTGACATGAAAAATGTACTCATCAATTAGTTCAAAGACGGCATGAACAATTTGAAGTATTAAAACTGCTTAATACATGAAATCAGATTAAATTCTGATCAGTGAACTCTGCATGTGTTGCTTTTCATGTAAATTTGAAAGACCTTTTGAAATAGAAATATGTATATGTAAATTTTTTTGTCCTTTAATATGTACTTCGCTGATCATTTTGAATTTTTTTCTGCTTACAGTGCTTGGCATTACTGACTTCTCAATTCTGTTAGGACACTAATTTAGAAAAGGAAGTATTTTAAATATTTAAAAAAGCAGAAGATCAGCATATCATTACTTCTACACTACACTGAACATAAACATATCACAAAACAAGTGGCTTACAGACAATATTTTAGTGAATGCTCACAAATGATGTGAACTAAAGTATGTGAGCCAAGCAGACATCTGTGCTGACACCATGGACTGCAAAAGGATTTTCCAAACAAGAAACATGAGTGGTAGGCTGAAGGGGCTGCTTCCATAGCTGCGAGCTATGAAAGATTCACAGCATCTGCAAATAAGGCATAGAGAAAGACAAGGGTAAAAAGCACTGCAGAAGCGTAAACATGTTGGTAAAAATGAAGAGAATAATGCGGATGGATACTAAAATTAACAAGGAGTCTGAAAAAAATAGTATTTAAAGAGAATGACACCTGCATTTTAAAGTTCTCAGATACTGCAGCTGCTCGTTGCAGAAAAGACACACTACCCGAGTATCTGTGGTAAAGCTGGACCAACTATGGCAGGTAGATTTGTCTGACCAGCAGGCAATGGAGCTAAATTTCATTGCATGAAGGGAAGGAAACATGATAGGGTCTGCTCATGCTATGGAGCCAAGACTGCAAATGCAAGGGAAAAGGGAGACTCAAGCTTCAAGAACATGAAGTCAAAAATAAGGGTGTCAGCACAGATGGAATGAAGGCAGGAACGTCCATAAGGAGGTGGAAGTGATACTGTGAATTTGCAAATAAAGGCAAAGCAGAACAAAATGGAATCTGCAGAACCAGGCACGGAGCCACTGCGGAAATGGACACAGACAGAGAAGAGCCAAGGCAAGAAATGATGCTTGGTTGGAAGGACCGTTTTCTCCCTCAGCCCCATGAGAAGCTGCCTCAACAAGAAGAAGGGGCACAAAAATGAAACACAGCCACACATCTATTTGGTCACTGATAGCTAGGAAAAGTGAAATCTTGGAGCTACAGTTGCTGTAATAAAATATTAAAAGCAGTCATCAACAGCACTTTCTCTACAAGCAGAGAAACTGGTCCTTTCACAAAAGTAGGTCACAGCATCTCCAAACCACACACTCATCCCAGATTTTGTAATGCCTTTCAAATCAACTTCAGTACAAATACGCTCCTCAATATAATCTCATTTAAATTTCATTTAGATTAAATTCCTTAAGTTTTGAATTGATTTTTTTTAAATAAATTAGTTTGTGCTTCAAATAGTCAGAGTTATTACACAATCTAGTTTGTCCAATCCAATCAGGCACAAAATGAAGAGGTCCAAGAAAAGTGTGCACAGCAGAGAGTCATAGAAATCTCCACTCTCACATTAAAGACATAGATCCAATACTGGCTTCCATAAAAAATCTTCAGTGTTTATACAGTTTACAGAAGTATCATAGAATCACAGAATCCTTAAGGTTGGAAGAAAAATTTAGAGATCATCTAGTCCAACCCCCTGCTCCAGCACAGACACCTAGAGCATGGGACACAGTATTGTGTCCAAACAGATTTTGAAGATCTCCAGAGAAGGAGACTCCACAATCTCCCTGGGCAGCCTGTGCCAGGGCTCTGTCACCTTCACTGTTAAGAAATTTTTCCTTAAGTTCCTGTGGAACTTTTGGTGCCTCAGCTGGTAGCCATTTCCTCTAGTCCTATCGCTGGCCACCACTGAAAAGAGGCCAGTCCCCTCCTCACTGCCTCCCTTGAGGTATTTATAGACACTGATCAGGTCCCCCCTAAGCCTTCTCTTCTCCAGGCTGAACAGGCCTGGCTCCCTCAGCCTTTGCTCACAGGGCAGATGTTCCAGGCCCCTGATCATCGTCGTAGCCCTGCGCTGGACTCTCTCCAGCAGCTCCAGATCCCTCTTGTACTGGGGAGCCCAGAACTGGACGCAGTCCTCCAGATGTGGCCTCACCAGGGCTGAGTAGAAGGGGATGATCACCTCCCTCAACCTGCTGGAGACGCTCTTCTTAAAGCACCCCAGGATCCCGTTGGCCTTCCTGGCCACCAGGGCACACTGCTGCCTCATGGTCATCTTGTCATCCATCATGACACCCAGGTCCCTCTCTGCGGGGCTGCTCTCCAGCAGGTCCACCCCTAATCTGTACTGGTGTCCAGGGTTATTCCTCCCCAGTGCAGGACCCTGCACTTGCCCCTGTTGAACCTCATGAGGTTTCTCCCCGCCCAGTCCTCCAGTCTGTCCAGGTCCCTCTGGATGGCAGCACAGTCCTCAGGGCTATCAGCTACTCCTCCCAGTTTGGTATCATCAGCAAACTTGCTGAGGGAGCACTCTAGCCCTTCATCCAGGTCGTTGATGAATAAATTGAACAAGACCAGACCGAGGACCAACCCCTGGGGGAACTACAGGTCTCCAACTGGACTCCGTGCCACTAACCACCGCTCTCTGTGCTCTGCCATGCGGCAAGTTCTCAATCCACCTCACCATTCTCTATCATAATAAAACACATCACTGCCTTACA